CAGTTGGAATGTTCCAGCAGCACACAGGCGGTGTCTACTAAAAAGGAAAACTACAACTCTACTCCAGAACTCTTACAAACCAAGAATACATTCTCAATTAGAAAACTGCAATTTGGTTCTGCTACATCCTGACTACTACAGTACAGTTTCCGCTATTCTTTTATTTACCCTTTCCCATTCCTTTATTGTACACAAAGCCTCTGGTGTATGTGCACAGTCATGCTGCATTTTTAACTAAATGGCCAACATTTTTTGATTCACATCAAATGGAGATGGGATGGAGAGATACTGGTTCTGTGAAATTAATCCCCTCTCTCCATTAGTGCATGCTCATCACCTCTTATCTTTATATTCCAGTAAGTTATTTTGCTATCACTGTTTTTTTATTAAGTTTATTGGTACATTTTAGGTATACAGTACAGTTACATTCATCACTGAGATCTTTTACCTTTACATGACAGGTCTTGGTTCTTATTTTTTCCCCATACCTCTGCCCTCCCTTCAACCCCTCCACCCTCCCTATTTACAAAGACTTTGTTTCCAATTTTTCCTTTTATCATATTTATTCCTTTCACTTCTTTCCTTTCCACTACACCTCACAATTCTTCCTCCCTTTTGGAACTATTCTTCCTATTTCACATCATCAATTATATAATTTGAACCTTATTTACACTTTTAGTTTTTCACACCAAACTATTCGGTATTTACACATGTGTGTCCTATTTATTTCACTTGAGTATGGCCTCAAGGTGCATCTATTTAGCTATAATGACTCTAGTTTTTCATTTTTTATGGATGAGTAGTACTCCATTTTATAGAAAAATCACATCTTCTTTATCCAGTCTCCAACTGATGGGCAAATGGGCTGTTTCCAAGTTTCAGCTATTACAAACTGTGCCACTATAAACATAGTTGCGCATATATCTCTGTGATATGATTCTTTTAATTCTTTTGGAAAGATACCCAGCAGAGTGATGGCTGGGTCAAATGGAACCTCTAATCCCAGCTCTTTGAGGTATCCCCATATTGATTTCCACAGTAATAAATATATGAGAAAATGTTCAACATCACTGGTCATTTGAGAGATGCAGATGAAAACAACACTGAGATTCCACCGCACCCCAGAAAGAATCGCTGCTATCAAGAAATCAAGTAATAACAAATGCTGGTGGGGTTGTGGGGAGAAAGGAACCCTTCTCCATTGTTGATGCTCTCACTGTTTTAACAGAAAAGACAACAGTATAAAAATCCTTGCACACCTTGTTTGATTGGATCATTTTAATGTTTTTTATTTTTCATTGTAAAATCAAGGACAATTTTATAAGTTTTTTGTATGTAACTGTTACATGTAGGGCAATCTGTCTTAGAAATTCTTGGAAAAAGAATCCTAGATAGTTTTCCCTTTAAGTCAGCTGTCTTTTTGTTTAAATAAACTTATTGTTTAAAAAAAGAGGTTATTAGTGTGGATACTGGAGAAAATTACAGAGGAACTCTATTATTTCTTAAAATTGTGTGTAAACCAACTACTCTCAAAATTAAGATAGTTATTCTTAAAGGAATGAACTACTAGTTATGCTATGACATGGATGTATCATGCACAAATTACACTAAGTGAAAAAAGACCACATAATTCCATTTATACAACATACTGAGAAAAGACAAATTTATAGAGATGGAAAGTACATCAGTGGTTGTCTATGGCTGGGGGAGGGGGAGTGATGGGAATAGGAGTCATTGGTAAAGGGAACAAGGTTTTATTTTAGAATGGTAAAAACAATCTAAAGTTAATCTAGTCTAAGCGAAATGGTTACACAACTGTGAATAGACCAAAAACCACTGGATTGTACACTTTAAAAGGGTGTGTACTGGAGATGGACCTCAGTGGTCTAATTTCATTCTTTTGCATGTGGAAATCTCATCATCTTAATACTATTTGTTGAAAAGTCTGTTCTTTCTGCATAGAATGGTCTTAGTGCCCTTGTCCAAAATCAGTTAGCCAAGTCAAAATGGATCAACCTAAAGATAAGAGTTGAAATTATAAAAGTTTTAGAACTAACATTAGTGTAAATCTTCATGATCTTGGATTTGACAGTGGTTTGTTAGATATGGCAATGTGTAAACACAAGAAAAGAAAAAATAAATAAATTGAACTTTCTCAAAAGTTAAAATTTTTATGCACCAAAGTACATTATCAAGAAACTGAAAAGACAACATTCAAAATAAGAGAAAATATTTGGAAGTCAGATACAGTAAAGGTTTAATATTGTGTTAAATTTTCATTACTGTAACAAATGCTTGAGATAATAAGTATATAAAGAGTAAAGGTTTCTTTTGACTTACATTTTTACTTTTATATTTTAATTTTTTGGTTTACAGTTTTAGAGGTTTTAGTTCATGATCAATTGGCGCTATTGCTTTGGGCCAGTGGTGGCACATCATTAGAGGGAGCATGTGGCAGAGCAAAAACAGCTCACCTTATAATAAAGATGTGAAAAACAGAAAGCTGCATGGAACATCCCTGTAATCCCAGCTTTCTGAGAGGCTGAGGCAGGAGAATCACAAGTTTGAGTCCTCCCTGGGCAACTTAGTGACTTAATGAGACCTTGTCTCAAAATTTAACAATAAATAAATTCTAGGGATGTGCAAGACCTCAGCGTGAAGGTCCTGGTTCAATCCCTATGACTGTAAAAAAAGAAACAAACAAGCAAATGGTATAATTCATAGGGTGAAATAGGAAGAAAATGGCTAAACGGGAAGTGGGAAAGGGGTGGGGAAAGGAAATAAGGGAAAAGAAAAAATGTGAAAAAAGGAAAAAATGGAAACAAAGTCTTTGTAAATAGGGAAGGGTGAAAACGATGAAGGGAGGGCAGGGGATGGGGAAAAAATAAGAGCCAAGGCATATCATGTAAAGGTACAGGATCCCAATGATAACCGTAACTGTATTGTTTGTCTTAAATGTACCAATAAACTTAACAGGGAAAAAAAGAGAAAGAAAACAAGTAAGCAAAGAAAACAGAGGAAGAGGAAGGGCAAGGGGCTGGGGTCCCCTATATCCTTCAAGGGCACACCTGCCATGACCTAAAGACCTTCCACTAGGTCCTACTTCTTAAAAGTTTCTATGACCTCTGAATAGCACCTTACTGAAAACAAGCAAAGAGCAAACAACATTAAATTTTAAGACTCTGGAATAACTTTTTACTCTGAGTGCTGCCTTCTGGATACAAGGCAGTATCCCTTGTGGGTTCCCCAGGTCTCAGGAAGCCCTGCCTCTATGGCTTTGCTGGGTTCAGTGCATGTAGCAGCTCTCACAAGTTGGAGTCCTATGCCTTTAACTCTCCCATGTTGGTGTTGCATACTGGTAGCTCTACAGTTACTAAGTTTCTGCAGTCACTATGACCCCACAATTCTGCTTGGCATTACCCTAGTTGGGATTGTCTTCAATGGTTCTGTCCTTGCAACAAGTCTCTATTTGGGATCCCAGGCTATATGCAAAATCCTTTGAAATCTTGGTAGAGGCTGCCGCTGCCCCACAGCGAAAACATTCTGTGTACCTGTAGAAATAACCTCATATGAATATTGCCAAGATTTGCCCTTGCATCTTCCTATGCTTCAGTTTGAGTTGCACCTGGACCTCCTTGAGCCACACTTGGGGTATTGAAGAGTATTGCACTGTAATGCAAGGGACAGATATGTGAGGCAGGACAGGCCAGCACATGATGAGATCACATGGGAATCTCTTTGAAAACCTTGTCCTCAAGGTCCTGGCTTGCCTTGAATATCTCTGAAATGCCTTTGGGATCATTCTCCTAGTGTCTTAATGACTAGAACCTACCTTCCTTCTACTCAAGTTAATTTCCTTAAGTAAATTAATTTCTTTAGTAAAGTAGGTTGGTCACACACTTATTGCTCTCTCTTGAATTCACATGTTTATTCTTTACATGGCCAGGCTGAAATTTTTCCAAAACTTTACCATTTTGTTTCCCTTTTACTTGTAAATTCCATCTTTAAATTATTCTCTCTTCGCTAATTTTTATATGCAATTAAAAGATTCCAAAGCCCTTGAGAATGGGCACAGTTCAGTTAAATTCTTTTTCATTTCATAATAAGGATAGATGTATTGTCAACTTTTCATTGCTGGGGCAAAATGTCTGGTATACACAACTTAAAGGAGGAAATTGTTTATTTTTGGCTCATAGTTTCAGAGGTTTTAATCTATGATTGGCTGACTCTAAGGCAGAAATATTATGGCAGAAGGGAATGGCTGAAGAAAACTGCTTAATTCATGGCATCTAGAAAGCAGAGCAGGGCAAGAGCCCAAGAGGAAGGGGTCAGGGACCAGATATATTCCCTATGGTCATGCCTCCCATGTCCCTCTCAGATACACAAAGAAGTGTGCTTTACTATGCTCCTACCATATTTTCCCCCAAAATGAGACCCAAATAAAAAATAAGACCTCACTGGAAAATAAGCCCTAATATGATTTTTCAGAATGCTCATAACATAAGCTCAACCCCCAAAATAAGACGCAGTTAAGATCGTCAGCTAGATGGATGCAATTAATACATCTGTTGAAACACAAAATGGATGCATTGAATTATAAAACAACCATATATAACTCAATATAAATAAAAAACATTGACATTAATACTTAAATAAATAATAATATAAATAATAATTAAGCATTTCCAAAACCCAAGCAGGCACCTTTGGACAAGAGGTAAATGCCTATGTAAACAGATGAACTCAAGACTTATTGCTCAGTGACCAATCACAGTACAGACACAATGCACAAATAATGTGCATACTTGATAAACGGATGTGGTTGTGCCTGATGTGAATATTCATAATTTGTATTCTTTGTGTGCTGTAATGGATATACTTAATGCACTAATGTGAAATAAACGTTTTCTGGCTGGGTGTGGTGGCACATACCTGTAATCCCACACTCGTGAGGCTGAGGCAGGAGGATCGCTGTGAGTTTGAGACCAGACTGGGCTACATAGTGAGTTCCAGTTCAGTCTCAACTGCAGAGTGAGTACCTGTCTCAAAAAAACAAACAAACAAACAACAACAAAAAAGATTTCTGAATATTGGCCCCTGCAATCTTTTGTCACTTTTGTGTAGACCATCATTCTTCACTGTCATCATTTTTGTTGCTACTCCTTGTCTCATAAGTCTTCAATTAAATGGAAACTTTGTGAAGCCTAGCCTGCAAGAGGTCATGACTTGGGTGAAGAATTCATGGAGTAAAATCACTGACAGCTGTGTTGCCAATGCATTACGAGCAGGCGGCATGGACAAGAAGTGCTCTTTTAAGAAGATTTCTATTACTGGACATATAAGATTGGGGTCAATGGTTCTACAGCAAATGGAATTGCAAGAAATTCAGGATGAATTCAGGGCTTGGAGAGTTACGATGATGTTTTACAAGATGACATGACTATATGTGAATAAATGTAGATTGTTGTATGTGAAAAAATAAGACATCCCCTGAAAATAAGTCCTATTGCATCTTTTGGAGTGAAAATTAATATGAGACCTGGTCTTATTTTGGGAGAAACACAGTAGACAGCTCTCAAACCAATCAAGTTACCAATTGAGATTTACCATCACTGCTGGGCATGGTAGCACATGCCTATAATCCCAGCACTCAGGAGGCTGAGGCAGGAGAATTGCCTCAAGTTTGAGGCCAGCATGGGCTACCTAGGGAGTTAGAGTCCAACCTGAACTACATAGTGAGACCTTGTCTCACAAAACCAAAACAAACAAAAAAAGATTAACCATCACAAGGTTCTTTATTTCAATTTCCATTAAAATATTATTTGTTTCCATCTGAGGTCTCACCAGAATAAAAATAGTGGGTTTTTAAAATACAGGCTTTTACCAGCATTCACTTCTAATCTGCTCTAGCCTCTATCAACTATTTCGTTCCAGTGCCACTTTTTTTGGGCAGTACTAAAGAATGAACACAGGGACTTCATATTAAGCTACATCTCCAGAACTTTTTTATTTTGAGACAAGGTCTTGATAAGTCACCTACGCTGGGCTAGAATTTATGATTCACCCTTCTTTACCCTCCCAGAGTGCTGGGATTACAGGTGTGTGCCATTACCTATCTCCAAATGAAAAACAAATTTAAAATGGTTAGGATGCAGCCCAGTAGCAGAGTACCCTAAGTTCCACCTTGGTACCACAAACAAACAACAACAACAAAAATACCTGAGACTGTGTAGATTGTTAAGAACAGAAATTTTTTGGCTTAAGAGTTGTGAAGGCTAGGAATTCCAAGATTAAGGGCCATCTGGTGAAGGGCCATTTCTATCACATATATACATATACATTGTTGGTGAAAAGGCAAAAAGGTGTAGCTGCTCTGCAACACAGTCTGACAGTTCCTCAAAAATCTTAACATAAGCCAGATGTGGTGGTACACAACTGTAATCCTAGCATTCTGGGAGGCTGAGGTAGAAGGTTTGTAAATTCAAGCCCAGCCTTGGGAACTTAGTAAGACCCTGATTCAAAATAAAAAACAAACAAAGGACTGGGGATGTATCACAGTGTGAAGTCTCTGGATTCAATCCCCAGTACTGTAGAAAAAAGAAAAATTAATGACAAATCTTGTCATGTTACCCAACAATTTTACTCCTGGGTATGTACTCAAAAAAATTGAAAACAGTGACTCAAACAGATATGTGTATGGCAAAGCAATGGTTTTTTGTTTGTTTGTTTGGTTTGTTGTTGGTACCTGGAATTGAACTTGGGACCTTACACTTGCGAGGCAGGTGCCAGAACCACTGAGCTAAATCCCCAGCCCAGGCAATGCAGTGTTGAGTACAGAGTTATTCACAATATCCAATGTGAAAACAACTCAACTGTTTATCAACAGATGAATGGATAGATAAAATATAGTCTATATTGTACATATAGTGGAATATTATTTAGCCATTAACAAGATTGAAGCTCTAATACATAGTACAATGTGATTGATCCTTGAAAACATTACGCTAATAAAATAAACTAGAAACAAAGAGACAAATATTGCGTGGTTCTCCTTATGTGAAATATTCAAAATAGGCAAATTCATGTAGACAAAGTTGATTAGGTGTTATGAGGAGTTGGGGGAGGGCAAGGAGAGCCCTTCCTTTTGGGATAATGAAAACTTTATCCATGGTGATGTTGGCACAACAAAGTGTTAAATTGGCAAATTTTAATTACTGTTACAAAACTACTGCTTTTTTTTAAACTACTGCTTTTATGGCTGTGATCTACTGTAACCATTTATGAAGTACCTACTCTGTGCTAGGTACTATTCTAGATACTGAGGAATCAGTAGTGGAGAACATCCTAGTGAGATGAGACAGACAATGTATAAACAAGTGAGTCCGGAAACCTACTTTTCTAATGTCAACACTGCTGTAGTCCTGGCATGATGTAGCTTCTGCTCTCTATGACCACTTACTTCTGGCTTGCAGCAGGCCCTGGGTCAAGCCCCAGAGACTTAGATTGTAGAACTAGATACTTTATATACGATTAGTACACGGCAGGGAACATCTTCTCTGCAAGTTATCTATTCCTCTCCTTTCCTTTGCTATCTAGACAGGTTTGAGCTTCAAACTATGGGCAACCTAGATGTTTCTCATCCTTCATCATAACCCATTATACTGTATTTTATGTTCCTCTCACACCACGCAGAAATTGGTTTGCACATCAAGATAGACATTAAAAGGACAATGAGCCAGGGATTTAGCTCAGTGGTTCCGCTGCCTGCCTTGCAAGCACAAGGACCAGAGTTCGATCCCTAGTACCAAAAAAAAAAAAAAAAAAAGACATTGATACAGCTTTTGCATCCCCAACACTACACGCACACACACACACACCCCTTCTTGAGCCATGAGTATGATAAGGCCCACCCTTTCAATGGATGTGAGGGTAATCTGGCTACAACATCTGTCACCCCATTGATCTTGATTAACAGGATTGATTTGGCTGATCTGGCTGGCTAGGCCCCTTCCTCTTTTACCATTCCATGCGTGTCCCTCCTGAAGCTGCATGCTTGGTCAAAGAGGACGACCACTTCCAATAGAGGAGGACCGTTTCTTCAGTCTAGGGTATACGAGTAGCTGCACTCTCCTGCTAGAACTTCCAAATAAATTCTCAAACATGAACATACCACTCAGGTATACACATTCACAACTGTTCTACCAACAAAACTGGGCACAGAGATTCCTCCTTATGTTTTCCTTTCCCAGGCCTGTCCTGTACCCATATCAAGCTGTTTTCATTTCATTCATATACAGATGCCGTACACTCAATCTCACCCACTGATAAAGCTGACTTAGCCCGCATCCAGGCATTACTAATTTTCCCTTTCTCTTGTTTTTTTTTTTTTGGTACTGGGGATTGAACTCGGGTCCTTGTGCTTGCAAGGCAGGCGGTGGAACCACTGAGCTAAATCCCTGGCCCCTTTTCTCTTGTCTTTCTCCCCCACACTGGAATCACTTAGTGGAGGTAGCATTGTAGACAGAGCTCTTCCCTGCCCCTCAAAAAACCCAATTCTCTTACTGTAATGTCCCCCTTTCATCTGCCTCTGCGACTTATTCTCCATTTCAATGTTGGAATCTTTTTCTTATATCTGACTTTATGGTGGTGGAAGTTGAACCACGGAACCACAGTATAGCAAGGACATCCTGAGTTCAGATAAAGGCATGGGGGTGGGGGTCTTCCCTAGGGATCCAGGCTTCAGAATGACACTTGATTACCTTGTTCTATAATTGTCACCATGCTCTCCCTGGATTTAGTCTTCAATCCCCTATGCAATGGTGCCTTGAATATAAGGGTGCCATGGCCTTTCATCCTTGCCAACATGACTTTAGATGACTCGCTCCATAATCCTGTGTCTTTGTTTCCCCTGTTTGTTAAAAAAAACTAGTTATTAGGTCTATTCTATGACCATAAGTAACAGAGAATACAAGGAGGCTGTATCATGCTGAGGCTTTCTATGTAGCAACATTTTCTCAAGGTCTGCCTGTAAGTTAGAGGACCTGCATGGGTTTCTATGTGTCATTTGAGGTCCAGAACTGATGTGTCACAAACAGTGAATAATAGTGTCATGGGTTTGGAGGCTGGCGCGTTTTGAGATCCAACCCCCTGCACTTGACTCCTTGCTAGTTGTTTGACCTAAGAGAAGTTGCTAAGACCTCTTTGACCTCAGAAACTCTGCCTCAGAAATGATATCCATTTCACAGCATTGTTTCTTAGATTAAATGAGAGGATGTAAAATGCCTGGTACATTGAAAATACTCAATAGCAATTTTTTAATAAATGAATAAACTAATACTACTCAGGCTTAGGATCACAGATTCAATAAATATCAAATATAATACTTGTCACTCAGTATGTGTCTTACTAGGATGTAAACTTCACAAAGGCAAGGCTTTTTATATCTACTTTATAACATTAACTCCTAGTACAGCTCCTGGAAAATAGTAACTGCTTTTACTGAATGAATGAATGAATAAATTAATTAATGCCATATTTCAGGCATTGTGTTAGGCATGCATAATACAGTTCTGAGACACAGAGTTTCTATATTCTTGGATTTATAGGGTAGTCATTAAATTGAGAGTAACACTAATAATTGAACCCGGGGTGAAAGCTGTGACAGAGTAGGGCAGGGTGCTGCTATGAGAGCGACACACAGAAGGAATGTCCTATTCTGGGATGTAGGAAAGTGCCTCTAAAGCTACTGACTATCTAAGGCTGAGAAAGGAATGATTTAGGTGATAAAGAGAGAAGACAAGGATAAATTTGCACTGTTCAAAAATAAAAATAAAAAACAGTTACTGTTCCTAGACTGTGATGAGAAAAGAAATGAGTCATAGAAGACAGAGTTAGAGAGACTGGAAAAGCCCAGATGACACGGGCCCTTGTAAAGAATTTGGCTTTAAAAAGCCTGTAGAATATTGGAGTAGATAGTCTTTACATCAACTTGATAAAGACTATATGAAAAACCAACAGCCAACATCATATTAAATGGCCCCAAACTGAAAACCTTCACATTAAAATCAGGAAGAAGACAGGATGTCCACTATTACCACTCCAGTTCAACATAGTTCTGGAAACATTAGCCACAGCAAGTAGACATGAGAAAGAAATTAAAGCAATAAAGATAGGAAAGGAAGAACTTAAACTGTCATTATTTGCTGCTGATATGATACTGTACATAGAAAACCCAAAAAACTCCGCCAAAAGACTTCTAGACTTAATTGACACTTTAGGCAGACTAGCTGGATACAAGGTCAACACTCAAAAACCAGTAGCTTTCTTGTACACAAATAGCACACCCACTGAGAGAGAAATTAGGGAAACAATTCCTTTCACAATAGCATCCAAAAAAAGGAAGTATCTAGGAATCATTCTAAAGAAGGAAGCAAAAGACCTCTACACTAAAAACTACAGCACTCTGAAGAAATAGATAGAAGAGGATATAAGAAAAATGGAAAGATATCCCTTGCTCCTGGGTAGAAAGAATCTACATAGTGAAAATGGCCACAATACCAAAACTGCTATACAGATTCAATGCAATTACACTTGAAATTCCAACAGTATACTTCACAGAACTAGAAAAAAAATAATCCAAAAATTCATTTGGAACCAGAAGAGACCTGGAATAGCAAAAGCCATTCTAGGCAACAAAGACATGGCAAGGGGTATCACAATTCCCAACTTGAAACTATACCACAAAGCCACCATGATAAAAACAGCATGGTACTAGCAAAGAAAAAGACCTGAGGATCAGTGGAATAGATTAGAAGATACAAAACAACTCCAGATGTACTCAGCTACCTCATTTTTGACAAAGGAGCCAACCATACTCAGTGAAGGGAAGATAGCCTCTTTATTAAGTTGTGTTGGAAAAACTGGATTTCAACCTGCCACAGACTAAAACTAGATCCTTATCTTTCACCATCCACTAAATTAAAATCTAAGTGGATTAAAATCTAAATATTAAAAAAGAAACACTAAATTTGCTGGAAGACAAGTTAGGCAGAACTCTGGAAGACATTGGCATAGGAAAAGACATTATGAACAAATCCTCAGTAGCACGGGAACTAGTACAAAGAATCAACAACTGGGATCTCACCATATTAAAAAGCTCTGCACTGCAACAGAAACCACCAACAAAGCTAAGAGAAAACCTAAAACGTGGGCAAAAATTTTTTACCAGCTGCTCCTCAGATAAAGGACTATTATCTAGAATATATAAAGAACTAAAAAAAAATTAGGTCCCCCAAATATAAAGACCTGATTCAAAAATAGGCATCTGAAATGAATAGACATTTCTCAGACAAAGAAGTAAAAGCAGCAAATAAATATATGAAAAAATGTTCAACCTTACTGTCATTCGAGAGATGCAGATGAAAACAACACTGATATTCCACCTCACCCCACAAAGAATGGCTGCTATCAAGAAATAAACCAATAACAAATGTTGGCGGGGCTGTGGGGAGAAAGGAACCCTTCTCCTTAGTTGGTGGGAGTGCAGACTGGTGCAACCACTGTGGAAATCAATATGGAGATACCTCAATGAACTAGGACTAGAGGTTCCATTTGACCCAGCCATCCCTCTGCTGGGTAAGTTTCCAAAATAATTAAAAGAATCATACCACATTGATATATGTGCAGCCATGTTTATAGCGGCACAGTTTGTAATAGCTAAAACTTGGAAACAGCCCATTTGCCCATCAGTTGGGAACTGGATAAAGAAGATGTGTTTTTTCAATAAAATGGAATACTATTCAGCCATAAAGAATGAGGAACTAGAGTCATTCATAGGAAAATGGACGCATATTGAGGCCATATTCTTAAGTGAAATAAATAAGCACACATGTAAATACTGAATAGTTTGTCTGGTGTGAAAAACTAAAAGTGTAAATGAGATCCAAATTGTATAACTGACAATGTGAAATAGGAAGAAAAAGGCTAAAGGTGTAGGGGAAGTGTAAAGGGTAGGGGAAAGGAAATGAGGGAAAAGAAAAAATATGAGAAAAGAAAAAAGTGGAAACAATGTCTTTGTAAGTAGTGGAAGGTTGACAGGGTGAAGGGAGGGCAGGAGTATGGGGAAAAAATGAGAACCAAGATCTGTCATGTAAAGGTACAAGATCCCAATGATGAATATAACTGTACTGTATACTTTAAAAGTACCAATAAACTCAATGGAAAAAAAAGAATTTGGCTTGTTCTCTTTTTACAAATTTGCCAGTAAAACTGGTTACACACAAGCAGATTGAATCTAGATCAATATCTCTCATCATGTACTAAAAAAAAATCAAAATGGTCAAAGATCTGGATATTAGAGCTTAAAGAGCCTGCTGGAAAGCAGATTAAATTCTTGAAGACATATGCATTAGTAAAGGCTTTTTGAACAGAACCCAAGTTGTACAAGAAGCAAACAAACATGACTATATTAAATTTTTTAAAAGCTTCTGCACAGCAAAGGAGATAACTAATAGAGTGAAGTAACAAACTGCAGAATGGGAAAAAATTGTGAGCTAATCCTCATGCAGAGGATTATAAATATATCTCAAATATATTTTTAAAACTCAAAATATTAGACCCCCTAAATAAAAGATTCAATAAAAAAATTGGCAGTGGAATTTAATGACACTTCTTAGAAGAAGAAACACAAATGGCTGATAAATACATGAAGAAATGTTCAACATCTCTGGCCATCAGAGAAATGCAAATTAAAGCAACACTGAGATTCTACTTTACTGCAGAAAGAACGGCTATCATCAAGAAATCAAATAATAACAGATACTGGCAAGGCTGTAGGGAAAAAGGAACCCTTCTACATTGTTGGTGGGAATGCAAATACAACCACTATGGAAATCGGTATGGAGATTCCTAAAAAAAAAAAAACCAAATCAGTGAAACATCTAAAATAGAAATTTCATTTGCTTCAATTATTCCCCTTCTACATATCTTCTCAAAGGAGTTAAAGACATCTTCTTATAGTGATATATGTATACCCATGTTTATCATAACAGCTAAATCTTGGACATGAACTATATGTTTATCAACAGATAAATGGATACAGAAAATGTAGTATATTTATACAATGGTATACTACTCAGATATAAAGAAGGATAAATTTGAGTCATTTGTAGGAAGATGGATGCACTTTGAGAGTATAATGCTAAGTAAAACAAGTCACACACACAATCATAAATATTATGTGGTTTTTCAAACATGAGAAATTCAAAGTATAAACAATTTAATGAGCAAAATATAGGATGTGTAATAGGAATCATGGAGATAGGTCTCTTGCAAATGAGAAGGGGATCTAGAGATGGAGGGAGAGGGAAGGAGGGGGAAAAGGGAAGTGAAAGGAATTAAGACATTTATGTACATGTATCAACTCCCCACAACGAATGTAATCACTATATACTACCAACATGTACTAATACAAATGTTTTTAAGAAAATAATTTGGCTTGAGGTCTTAATATGATAGGAAGACACTGGTGGGTTTCAAGAAGACAAAAGACATAACCTATATTTTACAAATATACTTGTAGTTTCTTTGTGACGATTAGGTTGTAGTGGACAAAGGCTTCTACAGGGAGACTTGTTAGGATAGAGTAGACATTTAGGTGAGAGATGATAGAAACTTAGACCTTATTGGCAAGAAGTGAATGTAGAGAAAGAAGGATGTATTATGAAATATATTTTGAATGTAGTAGGACTTGTTGATAGACTGAATGAAGTGGTGACAGAAAAAGAGAAGACAAATATAACTTAGATTTCTTGTTTGCTACCTGGACAGGTGGTGGTGTCATCTTTTTGGTATGGATAATTGTGGGGGAATAGGATTTGGGGTGGGGAAAACAGACATTCTGCCTTGTCTGTCTCTGGCTTACCAGAGAAACATCTAAATGGACATATCACAAACGAGTCTGGAGTCCAGGAGGGAAATCATGGTATCTAAATAACATTATAAATCCTGAGTGTGCCAGCTTTGCCACAGGCTAGTTGTGAGCCGAGGAGCAACAAGGACTACCTTTTGTTTGAACATTACCCCACTGGATGCTAGGTTGAGAACTGATTATGGGCAGGCAAGGATGGAAACAAGGAGACCAAGAAGGAGGCTACTTTAATCACACAGTTAAGGTGTAAAGGAAGTTTGGTCCAGGCTAGTGGTGATGGAGTTGGAGAGAAGAGGTTAGTTTCAGAATAAATTTTGCAAGTACAGACAACATACCTTGGTAATAAGCTGGGTATAAGAGGCAAAGGAGATAGTGTCAGAGATGACCTTCTGGCTCTGTGTTTTCTCAGTTCAATTGATAGTAGAGGCATTTGTTGAGCTAAAAATTACAGAAGCAGAACAAGTGTGGGGGAAAGATGTTTAGTTCAGTTCCTTTCCCTTCCCTGTTTGATCCCTTTACTTCTTGACAATCTGCAGCCACCTTCAAAAGGGGTCAGCTTTACCTTAAATTGCCCTATCAGAGAATTCACCCTTTATGTTGATGGATGATATTTCCTCACCTCTATTAACACTACACACTTCCTCTAGAAACACTTCTACTCTTGTGTCTTTAATTACCATCTTCATGTTGATGATAGGCCATGTTTTACCTTTGGTCCTACACATTTCTCTGAGCTCAAAATCCACATGGCCAACTATTTACTGGTAATCTCTCCATGGACATCCCACATGTACCAAAACCCTACTATGAAACAAACTGAAGTTTTCATATTGTTTCTTATATATCTAAATCCTACTGCAGTGTTCCTTAGTTGCATGCATGACCTAATATATATCCAGATTTCCTAGACAAAGGAACACATAAGTCATCTTTGTCTGCTCACAACAGCCTCCTAACTTGGCTGAATTGTAACATAACCATAGGTATGCCATGCACAGCTCTGGGTACTGTCATGATACAAAAGTTTATTAGATACTGCTCCTGTCCCCTTGGAGTCTAGAGTAAACAATATGGCCTAGATTCTAGATCTGCTGTCCAACATGGTAGCCATTAGCCTCAAGTGTTTGTTAAACTTTAACTTTAGATTCATTAAAATAAAATCATATTACAAAGTAAGTTCTTTAGTCACACTAACCACATTTCAAGCTTGGGGTCAGACTACTTAGATTCATGGCTTGAATCTATCATTTCTAACTGCATGTCCTTGAAAAAGTTACATAACCTTTCCCTTCATCTATTAAATGAGTTCAATAACAGTAAGTAGCTTTAAGCATTGTAGTTAGGTATTATAGCATACACCTATAATCCCAGTACTTTGAGAAGTTTAGGCAAGAGTGTCACAAGTTTCAGCCTAGCCTGAGTGACTTAGCAACCTAGTCAGAATATGTCTCATAATAAAAAAAATAACATTGGGCTGGGATGGTAGCTCAGTCAGAATGTCCTGGATTCAATCCCTAGTACCACACACACACACACACACACACACACACACACACATGTTACTGTTGCCACAGTGATTCAAGCAAGTCTTATTCCTGTTGTCTTGTGCTTATTCTGTGCCTTTTATACCTTAAAGGACCCCAATTGCATTTTGAATAGAAGCCTTATTTCAAATTTTTTGATTTTTGTTTTTTGGTACCAGGCATTGAACTCAGGACCTTGCACTTGTGAGGCAGGTGTGGCACCACTGAGCAAAATTCCCAGCCCTCCTTTTCCAAATTTTTAAAATAAATAAAATAAAGAGTTGTTGTAAGGATGAGATGAGTTAATATATGTAATGTATTCTATTTGTGGCTCTGGAATTCCTTTTTCTATGTAATCTTAGACATATCACTTCCTCTTACTGACCTCAGTAGGGTGATTTGACTCCTCTATATGTACTCTAAAGTCCCTATCAGTTACAGTACTCTTTGGGGGGAAAGCAGCCTGTTTCAGATGGCATAAGGAATAGAAAAGAGCATAACACATGTAATGGATATTGATTATATTTGTCATTTATATTATCAAATGTTAACTCTGTTTGGCACCATACATACATTATTGCATTTAATTCTCATGATGGCCCTGTGAAGCAGATGTTATCTTTATTTTATCAATGAAGATAGGGTAGAGAAATAGGGGTTTGGAAAAGCAAAACCACTGTCATCTGTCACATAGCCAACAGGGAGTGGTAAAGCAGGCATTTAAGCCAAGTTTGCTTGGCACCAAGACCAACTGTAAGTGACTCTACCATGCTACCATGTATGATCCTTGGTGGGAAAGAGTGGAGCTGGAGAAGTACGTTAGAGTCACTCTAGGATAATATGGAGAAGAAGGCAGATGAAGGGGAATGAGTAGAAAGAGAGAATCCCATTAAGAGACTGTTGTCTACAGATGGAAAATGATGAAAGACATTGAGCTGGAACAACAACACTAGGGATAAAAGAATATAACAGATAGGAGGCATCTCAAATTCCTTGAGAACAGGAATAGTCTTTTCCATCTTATCACTCTACAAACCCACATAAAGCACAACATAGCACTTTACACAAATTGCCTGTTGTTTAAAATGAGCTAAATTAAATTCTATTCACAAGACTTGGTAACTGATTGGATTTGAGATCAAGATGGGGTTCCAGGTTTAGAACCTGGCTTTTACTGAGAATTCTGAAGTTGCTTTTTGTGGGGTTATAGAGTGCTCAGAATAAGTTTCAACTACTTTGCTTCCCCTATTGTGTCCTTGACAGGGCCCCAGCTAGGGTAAACCAGCCTTTCCTTCCAATCAACTGGCCATCTGGGCTGGGCAGGAGGCTCTTTCTTCTTGGGCCTCCCTTCCGCTTTCCTTAGCCTGGGCATTAAGTCTCTTCATAGTATTTGAATCAGAGGAAACAGATAGACTGAGGAAGTGAAGAAAAATCAGGCTGCCTGAGCACTCTGAGCCAATGTAAACACACAGTGGTTTCCTGTTGATGCAGCCCAAAGTGGCCCATGACATCATTTCTGGCCTTTCCAGAACACAACAGCTCAGCCCAATCTGCCAACCTACCCAGGGCTGAGTGGCAGTCATCCCTTCCCCTCCAGTCTTAGATCCTCCGGAACTGGGAAACTTCTTCAGGCCAACCAGGCCTTTCTAGCCCTATAAGGCATTACAGGCTAGAGACCGGACATGCTGTCCCACTTTCCAGAGGTCTGAAGGCTTATGGGTCAGAGAAAATTTTCCATAACCGGAAAAGTTGCTTTACTTCTTTTAATGGTGATTTGGAGTCAGGGGAGAAGGAGGAAAGTGTGACACACAACTTCTGAGACGTGCCCTAACTACTTCCTCTGCTCTTCACCCAACCTAAGGGCTCACAAGTGTGTGTTCTGAGTCTTGGTCACAAATTCCTAGAAACAGATTTGTAAAGGCCCTTTCAAGACCTTGTAGCCTAATCTTTCCATGGTACAAATGAGAATACTGAAGCCCAGAGAGGGCAAGAGACTGGACCAAGGCACACAGTTGGTAAGAGTCATATAAGCCATCCATGGCCAGAGGTTTGAACCTAAACTATCTCCAGGTAAGATGATATAGTTGCAAGAGTTCTTGACAGAAAATCCAGAAACCAAAGTTTGATCTCTAATTCCTCTGTGAGAGTTTGGATAAATTCCTCCTTCTCTCTGGGCCTTGGCTTAGACAGCTATCATTCAATTCAAGAAAACAAACAAATATTAATCAAAAGCCTATTATACTTGGAGAAGATAGTGTCTCCTGGGGATGAGAGGAAAGTATAATTAAAACACTACCAATTTCACAGGTTAGAATGGAAGGAAAATGAAAAAATGTTCTGAATTCTATAAGAGACCTGAAGGTTGTGTGGACTTCATGCCCCTGCTTCTAGACTGAACCAAATCATAATTAAGAGTCAATTCCTTGAGGGCAAAAAAAATGTCTTTTTCCTCTTTATATCACATCACTACTCATATATCACAACATAACTTTGCAGCAGAGTTTTCTAATTGGGCCAGAGTTTTTTTTTT